ACCATATCTTACGAGCTCAACGTTCTCCGAACAAGAGGTCCGAGAAGAATGAACTGCACGGTCCACACCGTTCCCGTTTCTGCAATCCAAGAGGGGGGCACCGCCCCCACCCCCTCAACTTTTAGTAGTTATGGTCTCGACGAAACTTTTGACATCTCTTCCACAAATCGAGCCGAATCAAAAGAATCATCGATTGGGAATATTACTAGTAATAGACCGCTTGTTTTGAAGAATAAATCTCCTAGGTGGCACGAGCAGCTTCAGTGTTGGTGCCTGAACTTTAGAGGACGTGTTACGGTGGCATCTGTGAAGAATTTTCAGCTAGTTGCTGATGTGGACCCGTCGGAGAATATTCCGGAATCTGAGCAGGAGAAAGTGATCTTGCAATTTGGGAAGATAGGGAAAGACATATTCACCATGGATTACAGATATCCACTTTCTGCCTTTCAGGCCTTTGCGATCTGTTTGAGCAGCTTCGACACGAAACCAGTATGCGAGTAGAGATCTCCATTTTATATAAAATAAAAATATCGCCTATGATGGTTTTGTTTGTATAGTTTTTTTCTTTTTTCGTTTTTCTCTTTTTCTTTTCCAAGAAGATTAAGCTTTTAATTATGTGATCTCAAGGGATCTTGTTGTTCAGTTTGATGGTTTTGTATTATACATACGCAGTAAAAAGACGATGCGCTACTATCTTTCTTGAAATGCCTTATTTATTGACAGTGCTTTATTTATATAAATTCTTTTAGAATCATAGAGGTCCTTATTTACATCCATATATGGACACACCTATACAGAGTAATAAAACATGAGATTCTCATTTTCAGACAACATCTATATTATCCTTCTCTTTATCCTCTTATTTCCTGGCAGCCAACACGACAACCATGGCGTCGAGGTTTTTCAAGATTATTATCATTATCGGAATCGCTCGTCTCCAAGAAAAGACCTCTCAGGCACCTTCTCCTTATTGTTGGCTCATAAGTAAGTTTCTCCGCGCGAGTCGTGTTGAATTCAGCCCTTCTTGCCTCAGGGGCAATGCCGTCATTTGTCGACCGGACCGGCTCCTTTGCGACATGAGTGACAGCCATGTGAACTCCTGGATTTCGTTCGGTAACGGAACCATTGAAAACAATGGAGTTGTTTATTCCCTGTGCATTGTTGTTTATGTATGCCTCGCTTGGTTTATCTTGTTTAGCATCTTCTGACTTTTTCTTCTCTCTAGAAGATTCCTCTGCATCGTTGTTTTCATCAGGGTTGATCTTGTTGTAGCTTCTGTGTATGTGAACGGGCCCGTCTCTGTTGGAAGAATCGGGCCCCACATGCATCGAAGCTCCTCTGTTTTCTCCAGCGAGAGTTATCACACTTACAGCTCTGTCGTAAAAGGTGCTGCCTTTGGTGTCGTCACTGGTTGCTACTCGGTTGAGAAGCGTGGAAACATCGTCTTTGATGATGCCTTTGTGGAACTGCGCCATGTGTCGGTCTCTAATTGGTGGAGCGGATTTGTCATCAGTGGTAGTTGGTTTTGCACCAGATACAGGGAAAGCTAAAGTATTCTCTGTTTGCATAGATTTTGGAGAGAGAAAATCATCGACTTCCTTCACATCTTTAGTCTCTTGAGGCAGTGGATTCGATCA